GTGTGTGTGTGTGTGTGTGTGTGTGTGTGTGTGTGAATTGATCTGTGTCTTTATCAGGCAAATAACAGGGTTTGTGCAGGGTCTTAAAGTCTAAAAAAAAGTCTAAAATTTGAAAATCTAAATTTTAGGCCTAAAAAAGTCTTAAAAATGCCCAGATTTTCATCTGAAGTCTTAAAATTTAATTTTGTCAGGTCTTAATTCCTTTACTTTTGATCATTCCCGAGAAGCAGTGGCTGCATAAATAAAGAGAATAAAGCGCTGTAATCAGAGGTTGTTGGGATCGATCTTCATGAAGTGCTCAGTCTGCTGCCGGCCTTTTTACGTGTTAAACTACAAATCCAGTGATAACTGCAGGCAAAAAATGGCACAGTTTACTTCCATGTTTTCAACCTATTTGCCATTAAACCCCCCGCATACAGCGGCTTGTTCACCCACCCAAAAAACTAAGAAGTTCGGTCATGTCCTCTGCTTGTGGTTTAAACATGGGAAAGCGTGTTTCCAATAAGACTCGGCTTCATCTCAGTGATTTTTGCACTCAGTTGGAAGCTGTCCACAGCAGTCGATATGAAGGTCTCGTAGATATGATAGTTTCATTAAAATAATATAGTGTTCTTGTATTAAAATTAAATATTATTTCTATGTTGAAAAATCTGGGACCATTTGAATTTTTGTGTTAATGTGTTGGTTTGGTTTTAAATGTCATTCCTAATGGTCTTAAAAGGTCTTAAATTTAACTTACTGAAACCTGCACGAACCCTGAAATAAACTAAACACATAAAGCCATGAAGAGTTTGACGTTAAAAAACATTTAATGTGGATAAATGAAGGGAAACACTGGAATAAACTTGTGTTTCAGAAGAAACCTTTAAATGCAGTATACCCAACAAACTATTGAGCTTATTTTATTAAAGGACATTATTTCCTTTACACCTAATGGCTGACAATCTTATTTTTCCTCTCTCTTTAGGTGAGTGCTAACGTCCTCATATTCCTGTGCACCAACATCATCGGCATCTGTACCCACTACCCCGCTGAGGTTTCCCAGAGACAAGCCTTTCAGGAGACCAGAGGCTACATCCAGGCCAGACTTCATCTGCAGAGGGAGAACCAGCAGCAGGTAGGGCTCTGGACACACGCCGTCACCTTTCTCTTTTGGAAAGTGACATCATGCCTCGTGCAATCTGCCTCTGCTGAACCATTTAAAGGTCATCCGTAGTGACGACAAGATCCTGTGGGATTTTAGTGTCTTTGTGAAACACAAATCACCAGACTCACGCAAAAGCTCCTGATTTCTGCCTCAGAACATTTCATATCCTGCTTGTGTCATCTTCCCTCCAACCCTCGCTGCTTTTCTAAAGCATGGAAAATCCAGAATCGATTTGATCTGTGCTGCTTTAAGAGAGTCGGCAAAGTAGCTGCTGTTTAGTGCCGTTTGTCCCAGTAGAGCTGCCGTAGCTTCCTGCAGAAGAAACATGTAGTAAAGCTGTGTTTTCACATCCTTTTCACCTAAATTTGCTGAATATTCTTGCATAAATTGTCTGTAAATAACAACTAGAGTTATTATAACATCTGTCTTTAATAATGACTGAATTGTTTGTATTAATTTTTTGATTTATGTATAAACATGCAGTAATAAACACAATGCTAAGAGTGTTAGCTTTTTTACCTTAGATTCAGTGGTAAGTTAGCATCTGTAGTAGGGCTGGGTGATATGGCCTAAAATCAATATCACGATATATTGACCAGTTTACCTTGATAACGATAAATGCACGATAACTCTTACCACCACACCACACCCAGGTACACGGTATAGTATAGTCATAACACTATACACTGTGTCCATGTTCTTAGTCAAAGTACACAGTTTAGATTTTGAACAGCTTTTCTATAGTTTATATTTGTCATCTTAGTGTTTTAAATATATTTAGTAAAAAACATTTTTGTCAAGACTTGAGTCAGATATAGTCATACAAATATTTAACCATCTTCATAACTTTTCAGTGCGAACACAAACATTATGTATGTACTATAATTTTATATTTTAAAAAATATACCAAATATGTCTTCTGCACAAAATAACTTAACTACATTTTTTTTATTTGTTAGACTGACTGATTTCTCTATTAAAGTAACTATTTCTTTCAAAAAGATTACATAATTTAGAGAGCTCATGTAATCATTTAATACTATTTATTCCTCATATTTGACCATTTATTGAATCACAGAGCAGTTCAGTCACAGTATGGTTCTAAATATAAGCAAGATATATTGTGAAGAATGAAATTTGTAGATATTTATGATAAAATACATAGCGGGAATTTTTCTTTTTTCTTTTTTTGGGGGGGAGTGTAACGCTAAGTGGAGACTCGTCTTTTCTATAATATGGGACAAACAAATGTTCATCTGTTAGAGTTAATATTGTTTCATTAGGAGAACTGAAACAGCAGCTCTCACAGAACTCAGCCTGTGTGCACCTCACTCCCGTTAACAGCGCTGTCGAGGAGAGGAGTTTGGTCAGGTGAGCTAAGTTGGACACATCTGTTAGATAATGATGTTCTGAACACATAAACTTATAGTGTGTTAGAGTTTAGATACCAATGTCTCAGGTAGCTCGAGACAGAAGTGTGGAGGACGGGGTTTGCTCACTCAGGACAGGAGCTGCAGGCTGATCAGTGTTTATCCTGCTGCTCCTGCTCTGCTCTGATTGGATAAAGCTGTGGGGTTTGTTTGATTTGTTGAAAGCAGCGTCTGTTTAAACCTGTATCAGACTGGGCGGCTTTAATGAGACCACAACAAAAAACAAGCAGGTTCTCTGACATGGGAAAATGACGTCGGTTATTGTCATAAATGTTGGTATCGGTTATTTTTTGGTTTATCACCCAGGCCTAATCTGTAGGGTTTTTGACATAGAGTATGTTATCTTGTCCTGTTTATTAGGAATAAAAATATATAAATTAGTGTTTATTCATGTAAAATAAACCATAGTGGATTAGATTTTAGGATAACTAAAGTGCATCTATAATTGGAATAGGGGCTGCACAATATGTCGCAAAAAATATCGTCATCTCAGTATTAGTGTGCACAATATTCATATTGCAAAGGACCGCTTAGTGTGCGATTATTGCTGACTAATGTATTTGAAGAGTGTTGAATTTGTATTTTTCATTCTAATACTTTATACACAACAGAAGAACAAAATATAAATAAAATGAAAGGACAATTTAGCCTTCTGGCAGCAAAAGCTCACACCAGACACATATGAAATTGCCAAAAATGCTAAAGGTCACATAGAGTAGGAAGCACAGATTAGAAAGGGAGGAAAGAATAAAAAAAAAGACATATCACACCTGATATCGTCATCGCAACAATTACAAATATTATCTCCATTGAAAGATTTCCTAATTTTGCGCAGCCCCACTTGGAATCAGAAACAAACTGGATCGAGAGATGCCAAAAGTTTCCAGCTCCTAGTTTGAATCCGTCTAAACTGCTTCATCAATTTTTCTGCTTGTCTGAATTTATTTTCTTTGTAGTGACAACAAAGCCAGTAAACAAAGTGATAACACACACACACACACACACACACACACACACAC